GGGGGGGGGGGGGGGTCAATGATTGTGGATCCACGCTTTTAACTCCGACTTGACCTTCTACCCCATGGGATCGTTGTTGCGAACCCACTTTCGGTGTTGGCGGAAATCCCTCCCCTCCCTTCTCCCCCGAAAAAAAAGGATGGCGGAAGTGAGAGAAAGGAATTGAACGGACTCAACGTTCACGAGTTCACTTCCCTCCGCCCGCCGCCTCTTCGCTTCTCCACTTTTTCCCTCCTTCTCCACTTTCCCATCTCCGTTCATGGTAGGTACGAGGTGTGGGAGGGGGGGTTGATTTGGATTTGCTCAGGGTGTCGAAGAGAAGGCACGTAAGGATAGACGGGGTGATTCAGGAGGCTGGGGGAAAAAATTGGTTCCCTGCCGGGGAATTGAACCCCGATCTGAGCAGACACCATCCTTCGATTCGTGAAGGTTATGAGAGTGCCCTATACTAGCCATTGTACTAACAAGGATTGCTTAGTCGTGCACGGATGGGGAATCTTGCATCTATAAAGGTACATATCATGGAGCGTGGATGAAGGTAGTTTTGAGAACTTGCCACTCCCAGCTTGACGTCGGGTTGAACAAAAGGCTTTCGGCCACCCCCACTTTTCGCGTGGGTCGAGAGGGACAGTGTTTCCTGCACGTGGACGAGGAAGGGAGGCCGAAGGAGGGAAAGAAGAGAGGGAAGCAAAAGGAAGGAGGGGTGGAAAGAGTTGGAAGGGAAAGGAAAAAAAAAAGAAAAAAAGAAAAAAAAAAGACGTTCCCTGCCGGGGAATTGAACCCCGATCTGAGCAGTCAGAAGACGATGGAGGTGAGAGTGCCCTATACTAGCCATTGTACTAACAAGGAGTGGATGAGGGAGATTCGCAAGAGGCGACGTTCAAGTATGTAAGAGGAAGAAGGGCTTGATGGGTGATGATTGGTTGGGGTGAGATGGTGAGGTGTGAGCGTCTCTTGGGAACTCTCGGCCTTGTCTCGCCCTCTCTCTCTCTGCTTGTTGGTTTGAGCTGAGGAAGGAAAGAAAGGGGGAAGGGTGGGTTGGAACGGATGGATGGACCGATGGATTACGGAATGATTCGTCACGATGCTGAAGTGGAGGTGGTGGTCTTCGTCGCGGGTGAGGTTGGATTCGAATCTCATGCAAGACGCCCCTGAGTTGATAAGATTGGAGAGGAAGAGGCATGAGTGGGTCAGCTTCTTGGTCGCGCCACCTTCTCCTCCTCCACGACCACCTTGGGAG